TGAGCTCGGCGTGTCAGCATTTTGAAAAACCCTAACTTAACTCTGGTGCCGTGTCACATATAGAAATTTTTTTATATTTGCAATCATAGTAAAACAAAGACTTATATTTTTGATATATATTTTATACATTTAAATGCCATTTGACAAAGAAAAATCAACCAAAAAAATGAGTTCGTGTGTCCCCTCTGACACGCGTGTCATAGGTTCACCATCACTGTCCTAGTGGAAATCGGGGATGTTGGAGAGGCTGCAGCTCCTTCCTGACAGCCTGCCATGCGCGCCACAACCACCGAGCACTGGTCCCCGATGCTGTGTGCCCCACAACCACCCCAAGGCCCACCCGCCCAGAGTCTCTGACTCCGCAGGGCATCTGCATGGGGCGCTGGAACCTGAACGTCTAACACGTGCCCTGGTGCTGCAGCGCGGGCATCACACTCGGAGCAGCAGTGCTGGGAGAGCCCCACTGGGGTGCGTGTCCAGGGGAGCATGTCCAAGGTGCCTCCAGCCACCTGGGGCCTGAGTGTGTGAAATGCAGCTGGTGGGACCACGGAACTGAATGTTTCCACTCTTTTAAATCTCACTAATGTTCATTTAAAGAGCCACAGCATGTAGACGTGGGGGCACGTGATGTAGACGTGGGGCACTGGACGGCGTCACTTTTGAGGCTTGTGTCTTCTGTGCAAAGCTGGACCAGCTGGACCCTTCAAAGATCGTCCCCATTTCCTATTTCACGGATTGTCCCGTTTCACTGATTGTTGCCCTTTCATTCTCGTTTCCTTCCTTCTGCTCCTTGGGGCTCACTCTCTTCTTTTCTACCTTCTACAGCTGGACAGCAAACTTGTTGATTTTAAGTCTTTCTTCTTTTCTGACGTTGCGTTTACGGGAAGATGCCAGCTCTCAGCCCTGCTTTGGCCGCACCCCACAAGTTCTGATGTTACTTCTTATTAGTCATTCAGTTCAAAGCATATCCGATTTCCCTCTGACTTCTTAGCCTCGGTTCTTTAGAAGCTGCGGCTTCATTTTCAAAACGTGGGGGCTTTCTAGACCTCCTCTTGTTGATTTCTAGCTTAACCCCATTAGGTTACAGGAGAACACTGCGATTCCATCTTCCACATCCCACACTCATCGCCCTGGTTCCCGGGCACCGTGTGCGTCTCACATTCGTCACCACAGTTCCTGGGCACCGTGTGC